CAGAAAATTAGGATTCAGATTGTCAGATGATGTAAACTATCTCTCCACTAATCTAATCTCTTTCACAAAGAAAGGGTTTTTTTGTATCAGGAAGCAAAATCAACTGTAACTAGCAGAGGATCTGGCCCAAAGTTATTTATTGTAAAGATCTGTTAAATGCCAAGATCTGATGTATTAAAAGTACCTGTTTAGGCTTAGCACACTTTCCTTCTGAAAGAAAAACCATTTGCTTAACCAAGAGGATGCCAATAAAAAATAGAATTACAGAAAAGTTAATTAATGAGATAATTCTAATACATCCTGTTTTGTTTCTTGGCAACAGAAAGCGTGTGACAGTCAATTGTCTGCCAAATATTTTATCTTCATGTTATCCATTAGTGATCCATTGCCTGGTGCCTGAATTAAAGCCAAGTCAGGGGAAAGCAATCAGTATCAGCAAGTTTCCAAGCTACCTTAGAGCCTGGAGAAGCACGGAGAGGGAGGTTACACCTTCTTGTGGCTTTACACTTAGCTTGGCTTAGGCAAAGGCAAATTGTTAAGTAAATTTTGAAGTATAATGGGAGGCTGCCATTTTAGTCTCAGAACTGTTTAAAGCTCAGTGTATCCCAACTGGAATATCTGTATTTCTAGCAAGAGTAGATTGAAATCCCAGTAGAATTGACTCAGTCTCCTTCCTTCCTGCGTGGATATGCTGGGGAGTGTGCAATTTACCCCTTCTCTTTGCCTTCTGATAATGATTGTGAGGACAAGGATGCCTGGGCTTTTTCATCAGGGCTGTCGCTGCCTCAATGTGTGACCTCGGAAAATAACTTGGCGTCTGTATGGGTGGAATTTTTAAAACGAGCTGCCTAAAATTAGGCATCTAAAAATAAACAGCTTGTGTTCATGCAGATGTGAAGCCTTGTTTCAGATTATTTTGCTGGAAAAAATTAGCTCCTATGTTTGTTTACCTGTAAAACTGAGCAGTGTTGAGAGACATGATAAAATATTGTAGAATCTTTGTGCAGAAGGACCATGTAGAGATTTTTTTTTTCTTCTTTTTCCTGAGGATATAAGTATTTTGGCCTCAACCTAATCAAAGCAAAACAAGAGCTCTTTTGGAAGCATTTCTTCATACAGCACTGGAATACAGGATGGAGCTCACTACTTCAGTGTAGATTAATAAAAAGCAGGGACATATTCCAAAAGGAATTAGAAAAATAAGTGAAAAAGAGGTGTATTATTAAATTTATTTAAATATTTATTAATAGTTAATATTTAAGCTATTAAACACTGATTTGGAGGTAGTCTAAAGCTAAGTCAGCATTTTGCTGCAATGTGAGAGAGAATCTAGAAGGATCTCTGAGTATTTGCCCTGGTTCTAAAGCTTTTTCCCTCAAGCACTTCCTGTTGCAGGTTTTAGATCTTTGTTTATGCCCTAACTAATTAAAATACTGTACAAGTTAATTAATGCTTTTAAAGCATTGAGACCATCACATGAAATGGATATGCAAGAATTTCAAATGATGTCTGAAGGGGGAGGGAGGGTCTTTATCTAAGTACAGAGATTCAGTGTGCTGCCGTTGGCCCAAATCTCTCTCATAATGAATTTATCTACAGGCTGCTGCACTGGATTCTAGAGATGTCTGGTATGAGTAGCTCTGGGTTAACATAGGCCTCCTTTTAAAACCGTGTGACAGTTTACAAAATGCTCTGGGATACCCTAGGATGAAAGGTACATAAATGCATGTAAAATACTATAATTAGGATGCAATTAGAAATGCACAAGAAAGGAGTGTTTGCTTGGCTACACTTTATATGTCTATAAAGGTTCATTTTTCTGGAGCACAGGAGACATGGCATAATACTTGTTCTAAGCAGTTACACTTGAAAATAATTGCTGTGTGCCAGCTCTGAGGAAGTTATTGTAAATTTGTTTCTGCTGCAAGGCAGAGACAATGACACTGATGTAATAATTTCAAAGAATGGGGCAAAAAATCTGGAGGAATCACCCCTGGAAACTGTAAATGAGAAGAATTACCAGCAATCAGGAGTGTCAGCCTATATTGGGAGGTGAGGGAAATGGTTTGCTGAAATAGTGAGAAAGAGTCTGCTTGTAGTTTTGCTCCTGGAATGTGCTGGTTGTGGTGCTGTCACTTTTGAATCAGCTCTGGTGAAAAGGCTGTGGCACCCACAGGGACTGTGTAGGGGCATTTTCCATTATATAGGATTTGAAGTGAGAATAAATAAGATAAATTATGAGGGAGCAGGGTAAGTTAATTTCCTTTGGTAAGAGCTTATTGGTATCCTTTAAAGTCTCTGAGTTGGTTTGTTTTTTTCCTTGTGGGGTTTGGGTATTTTAAATAAATAATTTTCTTTAAACAGGAGGTGTGATGGCTAGACCTTTGGGTTGGGATTCACAGGACCTCGATTGAGTTTCTAAGCTGGGCACAGAGATTTGTTGTCCTGGAAAGATCACTCAGTTTGCCCAGTGTTTTCCTCATCTGTAGTATGGAAAGAATATCTCAACAGGCTTAAAATCTTCCAGGGAAAAGGCTGAGCTAAGATGGTCCAATGTCATCTAGGAAGACATACTTTTGAAACTTGAAGGAAAAACTTTGATGCCTTGCCTGTTTTCCACTAGATGCCGTGGGCATGTGCTGATGCATGGATCTGTGGTTTTCTAAAGTGGCTGATAACATTCTTGATTAGTAGGTTCTCTGATAGTAGGTAGTTTATGAATGTGGGAGCTTCTGTTTGGGTTATATGAAGACTGCAGGGAGAAAAAAAAGGTAATTTAAAAAGGAAAATTGTACAAATGAACTCTTAAATTCAAGAAATGTCAGATTGTTGGTTTGTGTAATGGAGTCATGGAGAATGCTGTTGTCTCTGTTTTTCTGGCAACAGTGTCGTTCTGTGTATCCCTTGCAGCACAGGGATTGATTATTCTCAATCACTTTGTAGGAATTACAATAAGCCTGAGAACTGTGTAGGATGGAATAAGCTAAATCCGATGAAATTGCCGGAGAACTAACGGCCAGAAAGTCTCAGCTGAGCTTTAATAGCCAACAAAAACATCTCTCTGCTGAGCATAATAGACTGCAGCATTTCCAAGTCTTGTCACTTGGCAAGATTTACATGGCTTTTTTTTTTTTTTTTTTCATGAGAACAACATACAGTGTTTATGGCAGCACACTGGCAGATTTCAAATACTCTGAAATTCCTGGAGACTGGACCATCAGCTTTAGGAAACAAAAGGTGCTGAAATGGGACTCAGAACTTGTGCAATGAGAAGTGATTGCAGTGTACAAGGCTACAAGGTAGGGTCAGTTAACTGGACTTAAATGAAAGTGAATATGTAATCATATGTATTAGAGAGGTGATGTTTTGTACATAAATAGCCATGTAGATGACTTATATTTAAACCTGCCTTGAATATGGTGTCTCATGTTGTAGGTGCTAATAATACTGAGCTGCTGAGAACGTGATGACTTGCACAAAATGGAGATGTGTGTTGAATCATTCTCATCTTCCTTCTTCACCTCTTTACCTAAACAAAAAACACATAAATGTGGTTAATGGAAGAAACCACCCTGGTGAGCTTGAGGAGCTTGTCTCCTAATGAGGACAGAAGAACTTATTTCTGGGCCCATGGAGCTCCTTTTCACCATTTTATCTGGGACAGAAACACAACATGCAGTTGTATCTAGGGGCAGAGTAAATAAAATAAATAAATTCTAGTGGTCAACATTTCCTGGGAATATAGTAGTTTAATTTTTTGTCTGTAGAACAAGAATAATTGTATCTGCTTACCACGTCAGAGGATTAGTAATGGTAATTAAAGTGTGGAGTGCTTTGATTATTAAAAAGAAGAATGGGAATGGGAAGAAAGCAGTGTTTCTGATGAGCTATTCATTTTCAGTTAGGCATGTTTACTCCAAATGGAGTAAACACCCTGTCCTGCACTCCACTTAATTTGGCAGAAAATAAAATTTATAAAACCACAGGAGAACAATGTCAGGCTCAGAATAAAGGTAGAGAGACCAGGTTCTGTGCCTATGTTTACATTTGTCTGTGCATCTGAATGACTGTATTTTTAACAAGCTGGCTGAGAAGATGACAATTCATTGTGGGAAAAATGAAGTCAGGAGTCCTGGAAATTCAGGATTTAGTGTTTGAAGGAGGGAATAGAAGTACTTGACCAAAATTTGGTCATATTTAGCAGTTCCCAACCAAGAAGCCAAAAGTTTTTATATGTTCCTAGCATCTTTTCATTCATGTTTCGAGAAGTGCTAATTTTTTGTCATCTGAAATGAAATCTCAGTGATAAAATGGTAAATGTAATATCTCAGGGATAAATTATTCTTGTTTCAGCAGCATCTCTCAGTCCATAATAATGTAAAGAGGACAGTAAGTGTATTCTAGAGAGGGCCTTGGGTTGCAAATTGTCAGTTTCTGCACATTATGCTTGGCTGCTTTTCAGTCAAATTTCCTAGGATGAGGGTTAAACAACTTCACTTTCAGTCTTCTCTCTCTCCTCTTTCCAGGGGAACAGAACTTAAAGGTACTAACCTTTAGTATGGGTGCAGGGGAGAATGAGTGAAAGAAGGGAATGTGCAGCTCAGGAGGTGTGAGCAGAAATTCAGAAAGAATCTGCAGCAGTTAAAGGAGAGCTTAAGGGTTCTATGGATGATTTAATGGACATGGAAAGGAACTGGGAAAGCAGACAAATGGAAAGGAACTGGAAGTAATTCTGGGAATGGTATTGCCAAGAGGATGTTACAAGGAGGTAGGGCAAACCCGATGGGTGTTGAGGATGTTGGACGCAAATCAATCAGAACAAAAAGATTCATTAATTCAGCTGCTCAAGGAACAGTTTGTCTCAGGGTATGTGCAACTGCGTAGAAGGAAATGCCTGGAAGTCTGCACTTACAGTCAGCCTAATTGCCTCTGTCCGGGAGGGGTGTAATGGCAACAGAGGGAAGATGCCTGGGACTTCAGTTTTCCCTGTTCTGAGTGTGTGTGAAAATGGATAGCAGTGTTTTCTCTCACAAGCTCTTTTTTATTTAGGTGCAGCATAGCCATAAAGCAGCAGCAGTGGAGTGCAGATGAGATGCAGAGTAAAATAGACAGAAAATCTCAGGACAAAATCAGCTCTGGTTGCAGTCAACCTTTCAGGCTGCTAATTAGGATCCTTTTGTATGAAAAAGAAAGTTATCAGTAACTTTTATCTGATTTGAGATGGTCAGAACATTAAGGTATGTCATTGTTTGAAAGACAGCATACCAAGGTCTCGATTAGTAATGGAATAATATCTAGAGGAAAATACTCACTCTTCCTTTAAACTGGGAACACAGACACACCTATTCTGCTTGGGCCACTCCCTTTCATACTGTTCAACCCAGGAAATAGTCGGAGTGGAGCCACAGAGTGAGCCACCTCTGAAGGCTCTCACTTGTTCCTCCAGCTTGCCATCCGTTCTCTGCAGGGCTGTAGCTTGGGAGGTGCAGGAACAAAACTGCCTGAGAGCACAAATGGAACTAGAAATACATCAGAGCTCCGCAAACGGCAAAGGTTTGTCCTGGACTATTGCTCTGCTATGGAAATCTCTAATGATAAATGACAGGTTAAGCCATCCACAGGACATTGGTTCTTGGATTTACAGAGGGAAATCAGGCTGAGGAACTTCTGTTGGACTGAAATTGGGATCTTTCTGATAGGAAAAGCAGTTTCTGTATTTCAGTTTGTTTTCCTTTACTGATTTAAGAGTTGAACACCTCTCCAGCCTGGTGTGTTTTATGAACAGTGGACTTTGTTACTTGGCTGAACAGTGTGTGCATGTACCCATGTGCTGCTCCTCTGGAATGGATATCTGAGCACAGGGAGCAGAGCACACAACTCAGTGGAATGAAACAGGCTTTTTATCCAGCTCTGACTCCGTGTGTATTTTTGTAAGAGATAATTCACTGCTGTCTTTTGAAGTTTCCCATCTTCTAGCTAAAGATGATGACAGCATGCTGTTGCTGTGGGGTGAGTTCTGCAAAAAAGAGGTTTTAGAGTTCTGTAGTGGCAGGTGGCCTAAGAGTTCAGAGTATTGCTAATTGATGCTTTGAAAGAAAAGCTGATAGCCTGTCAGTGTTAGGGTGCTTTGGAGGGCAGATTTCTTTGGTGTTTAACCTCAGGAAGCCTTGTGCAAATCTGTGTGCAATCTGAGCACACCTACAAGTTCTTGTCTGTCCTGCAGCCACCTGTCACTGCTGCTGTCCCTGCACAGCAGGCAGGAGGGGTGGCTGTTCAGTGCCTCTTGCTGCTGTGTGCTGCCTTTCCCTGTTCAGCTATCACTGGGCAGCACACGGGGCCAGTGTGTAGCAACCTGCAGCGAGGTGACACTCAAGGCACACCTAAAGCACATTCAGCACAGTTTTGGTGTGAGTGATACAGAGTGAATACCCTTTGCATCCAAGAGCCATGCAACTCTTCGTTTGCTTAGTAAACATTCCTCTTTTTTTATACCACTGTCTTAGATAAAGGTGGAGCAAGAGGTATAAGTATAAAAAGAGATATTTAAATTTTTAATAACTAAAGTGTGGATAGTTGCTTTCTCTGTTACGCTTGGCCAGATAAACCCTTGGGGTGCCCATTTCAGGGGTTAGAGGTGGAAGAAGTAAAATCCTGTTTTCTTCTTTGCAGTGTCTAATCCCATATTTGTCTCTTAAAAACAGATATCATCTACCTCTGTGAGTCTGAAGATTAAAAAATGTACAGGTAGATGTATTGAAGAATTGTGTGCACTTCTCTGTGATAAGTGTCACTTTACCTTAAAAAAACTTTTTTTTTCCATTACTATTCCTAGTCAGTCTTTGTAGGCCAAACACCTAACCTAATGTTGATTTAGATATAGCAGTTTTTTTTCTGTTCTTTCTCTCAATGTGGTCTGAATTAGGTGTGCAAAATTCCTTTCTCCTTTCCTAATTTCTTTTAAAAATACTATTTTAATTTATATTTTAAATATAAATTAATCTCTACAGTGTAGAATGCAAAAGCATTTGGTTAAAATCTGGTGTTTCTGTGTGTTCATAAATGTGGCACTTGGGGACATGGTTAGTGCTGAGTTAACAGTTGGACTCTGTGATCCTGGAGGTCCTTTCCAACCTAAATGATTCTATGTTTCTCTGATTCTATGATCTTGCTGTGATGTGGGAAAGTGCCACATCATTATGTGAATTTCATCAAATGATTATGTGATTCCCTGGTCCTGTGGGGATTCATTATAGTGAGGTCAGGCTGAGTCTGGTTCTCTTTTCCTGACCAGGTACACTGAGAACTGGGAAAACCTTGCTTGTACCTCTGCCTGCTTTGGTTGCTGGTGATGTCCTGGGTGGGGATGGAAATCTCTTCTCTCTGCTGAGTCCTAGTGGATAAAATCATGATTGCCACACTGAGAAAGCACAGGGGAGAAAACTGATCCTTCTCCCTGCTGCTCTGTAGGTGTTTGCACTTTTTCTTCCCCAGAGTTAGTAGGGGAGTCAAGCTGTCTTGAAATCTAATATATGGAGAGATAATTGTTTGTCATTTCATTAAAGCTGGTAATGAAAACAGGTTGTTTAGTTCGGCTTCAATTTTTAATCAGTTTCACGAGCTGGCTTTTCTCATTCTAGAAAAATGATCCCCTAATTCTCTTTGTCAGCTGTCTATTTCAAGGTGGAAGGCTTGACCTCATTCTGATGATAACCCAATGAGCAGCAGGAGAACTGAAACTTGTTCAGAATCAATTAATTGACTCCAGGAGCAATACTGTGAGGATCTGGATTTCAAAGAAAGCATAAATTTTGGAAGGAAAACTCAATAACAGTCAGAAAACCACTACAAAATGGTGCATTATCTTCTAATTCATTCATAGTTAAAAAGGAAATAACTGGGAGCTGCCAACTAGTTTCAGTCTGAAAATATGCACAACATATGTTTATAACATAAGGTTTTCTACTCATAAACACTGTTGTGATCAGCACCTGTTTTAACTGATTCATCTGAAAATTTTGCTTAGTGCTGCTTAAAGAAATTCATCAATCAGGTTTTATTCACACAGCCTGACAGGTTGGCTAGTTTGCCTACTTTCTTTAATTATTTTTGTTGTTGCTTAGCTATTCCTAATTGCAGAACTATTTCTCAATCAAACCAGGGCAAAACTGATTAAAAAAATTGAAGATGCCTTGAGAGTGTTAACACCAACAGGGATTTTGAAGCTGAACTGCATGGAAAAATGATTTTTTTTGGTCATTGATTTGTGTCAGTGGTAAATCTGTGTATTAAACAAATACCACAGTGGTAACGTCAACACAAATAAAAGGAAACTTAAGTTTTGCTCTAGGCTGAGGGAGTGTTTACACTTAAAAAAACCCAAACCAACCACCCTCCTAGTGTGTACTATTAATAGTTGTTTACATTCTACAGAAACTGAAGAACTAGGCATCTCATGAAGTAACTGTCTAGATGCAGTATTTAATGTATTTTTTTAATACCAGGAAGTATAGAGACTCCGTGGTGATGACTAAGAATGCAGCAGAAATCCTCTCTCAAAGATGGCCAGGGCCATCTTGACTTTACATTATGTTCTAGTTAATTAATTTAAAATTAATTGAAATCCTACACTTGTGTTTAAAGTTCAGCTGCTGGAAAAATGACTTTTCATTGTAGCCCATGATACATAAGACCTTAAAAAAACCCCATGTTACTTTATGGCATTTGATCATGCAGTGGAAGGATGAAATCAAGAAATTCTTGCTGAAGAAATACTGCAGTAAATCATTGCTGCAAATACACTATGGTAAATATCAGTCAAGCAGGGAAAATAGTGGTCTTCAATTCTTTTAGGTGCTCCATTTGACTCATTCACCATTCCAGTAATTTATGATATCACTGGAATGATTTTTCCTACTATTGTAAGACCTTGTTTCCTACTTCCTCTTTCAAAACCATAGCTTGCTAGATTGTGAGTGCCCTCCACTACCACTGCAAGATCAAGACTCTTGATTTAGTGCTATCTTTGAATAACTCTCAAAGGATTTGATAGGCACAGCTTCACAACACTGAACATGTCAGGGAAATACCCTAAGATATGGCTTGTCCTGTGTTGAGTGGCACTGGTAAAGAATCCCAGCTGTACCTGTCGTCAAATCAAGAGCAGGTTTCTCCTTTTCAATGCAGTGTCAGCTCTGGAAGTTTGCTGTTTCTCTGACTGCTACTTTTCGTGATGGTGCTGGATTACAGCTCTTGTTTCAGGAATTCCACTAAACTATCAGTAAAATACAAGCAAAATGTTTGTGTAGCTATGAAATACTCAAGGGGATTAAAACCTCTCTTTATCAAATGCTAGTTGGCATATGCTATATGTAATTTCCTGCCATTAATAAATGGAAACAAATTCCAAGTGTTTTTTTCTGTCCCATCAGTGTATATTCAGATGTGTCCTTGCCTCAGTTTTGCCTGTACATAATGTGATCCCTGTGAGAGAAGTGAGCTGCTCACAGAGTGATAATTTTGCTTAACTGACAATTTCTTGCTTTTAACACAGCTCTTGATCACTTGTGTGTGTGCAGCTGATTTAACCAGAAGATAGTGCTGACCACAAGAGGAAGGGTTCAACAGTGCAGTAGGATTTATTTAATTAGAAAACAAAGGTTAGCCAACACAGCATATTTAAAGCTGCCTTTATGAGGAATGTTGGCAGTGGATGAACTGATCTGATGTCATTTCTGGCATCCTGTAGCAGTGCCATACTTTCCACTATATAGAAAGGTAACCTCCTATTCTTAGTTGTGATGGACATTGACAAACAGTTTCTAATGGCTCCTGATAGGGGCTTAAATTAGTCTTTATAGTACAAAGATGGACTCTATTTTAGAGTTTCACTACAAGAGGGCAGTGTGACTGCAGGAGTTCTACTTTTAGAGTTATGCCATGCTCTGAGAATGGCTTTGATGTTGGAGAATTTGGGAGTTGGATGCAGAAGAGAAATACTTAATTCTTATGATCATGTGTGCTGGTGGTACATCTACAGCAGAAGATCCAGTGTTAGGAGACAATGGTAAAGTTAAACTAAGATGCTCAGGAAGCCCTGCAGTGGTCTAGAGAAGACTTTCTTCTGATGTAATTCTTTACTCAAATTCAGCATTTGAATAAAGTTACTGTTTATGTTTCTGTAATTAGGTGATATGTCAGAAGAGAGTATAATGATATCCAGTTTATTTCAATGCATAACAAGAGGAGTGGTGCTTTCTTTGATGTCATGCTTGTAACACGTCACTCTTTACAAAGGTACAGGAAATAAACTGAGGAATGAAAGATCTCTGAGGTTTCAACTTTGATCTCTCTTCTTCCCAGCATATTTCTGTCTCAGTTACTATGAAGTCTACATTGTGAAGAGGATGTTACAAGGAGTTTCTTCGCTCAGCTGGAAAAAAAAGTCAAAGTTCAAGAAAGGAAAAGTAAAGAAAAGAGCATGATTAAAGGAATTACATTTATCTTGAAAGTCTTTGCTCTGTTTAAATAAAAGACACCCAAGCATTGCTGAGGAG